TTATGAAAATTTGGAAGTGGATTGGTTCTCATGCTTGGCCTTGATTTCTCTGGGTTAGTTACCTTGCATCAATCAAATTCTAGATATCATGTGTCAACCGAAGGCATCGATTGGTAGTCTGATCGTTACCATAGTGAAAATGATAGTATGCATTATGACCAAAGCCCTCAAAGGTACCGGAGGAGGTCTTGGTGTGAGCGGTCGTAACAGACCTGCTGACTTCAATTTTTTGAAGATCTCAGAGAGAGGAGTTTCAAAGTTAGAGAATCTTCTTTGCGGGATATTTGTAGCTCTCAAATCTGAGGTGGCAGTTGTTGTATTCTTATTGGTACTTGGGGTCTTTGCAGATGAACTTCACCTTTAGAAACTGAATTTATTAAAATTCCTAGCACGGTTCCCATACTTTCTGTCTTCTCTGATTTTATCTGTAATGGCGATCCTAACCTCATACACTTGTGAGAATTCAGTTAAGGGCATGTAATACAGCTTCTCTCAGAAAGTTGGTAGAGTCCCTTTAATAAAGATCTTAATCTACTCCTTGGTATCTGGACGGTTCCTCATCTGGGTGACCTTGGCTCTCCACCTAGCCATAGAATCAGTAAGGGTCTCGTCATTCTTCTGCACAATTGCCTCCAAATCCCTCAAATTGATGCTCATTTGAGGGTTGTAAGCATATTCTTTCAAGAAAACCGTGGTGAGCTCGTTCTAATCTCTTCTCAGCGTCTTTTCTAAATTATAATACCAAGTCTAAGCAGACCCGGTTAAGGACATGGGAAACATATTTAGAATCTCCCTTGACGGCAGACTCACCAACTCCATTACTGCTTTATATTGCATGACATGTACCTTAGGATCACCAGTGTCATCATATTTTGCCACCTTCGGCATCTTGTAGGTCAAAGGAGCAGTGTGCTTCAATTCCAACTCTTCATCATCATCAGCATCAATGTCTACATACTGATCCATTCTCTTGGATTTCATGAAGATGTGCAGCTTCTATAACTTCTCAAACTTGTTCGACACAACTGACTCAAATGTAATTGTAGGCATCTTCTTAGCAAAGAATTCCTCGTCCTGGCAAGTGTCATCCATGTGCTCTCTTCTTTTAGATTCACCCTTGGCCTCATCATCTTCTATTATCACCTACTCTTTACCCTTATCCGAGTGTAAGAGTTTTTCTAGGCTAGCTACCACTATCTTTTCAACCATCTTTTCAATATGAGAAACTAGAATACTTGGCCTAACTAAGTATTTACAATTTTAAAACTCAAATCCTAAGAGGTTTGATATGGCTTTGCATCCTCTAGAGTGAAGTGCCCAATTTCCACAAGGTGGTTGGCAATATTGCGCATGAGTGTGAATCGCGCCTCCACACCTTATAAGAGACTCATGGCTTCAAGTTGCGCTTGCTTTATTTCAAGCAAAAGTTGATGAACCTCTTTCAATTGGTCTTCTTTAGTCATTGTTAGAATCGGAGGAGCTTTCCTCTTAGGCATTTGGGCCTCGGCCATGTAGTCATCATTGGAAAGAGCTCATTTGGCTCATTTTGCTTAAGTCCTTTACCCTTTGGCGCTTCGAACGTCGGGATCGATCCATGATAAAATATACCTATATGGCTTCAATAAAATAAGTTAAATGATGCATGAATAAAGCACAATACAATCATAGGAAATATATAAAAACAAAAGGAGAATGGGAGTAGGGAAATGCATGATCTCCACCCTTATATATCCCACACACGATTCAATGTCAAAGGTCTTTCTAACCCTAAGACATATTAGTTGGGCCTATAAACATCATGGGGTTTTAGACCGATGCCTCTCCCATTTACTGTATGAATGCAACAATCATAGATTATTAAGGTGAACCTAGAGGAAGGAACTAGGCTCAATTATATGAGTTTTGGTCGGGCTTTATTAAGTCTCGAGTTCCATAAGCGATAATTGGTTGCTTCCTCCCATTTTACTTTGGGTCTAAGCAAATGGTGATAATAGATTGTGTCAATTCTTTTGATATACCCAAAGGTACTCGACTTATTGGTGGCATATATTACTAGCGGATCCAAACAATCGAATAGAGTGAAAGGATCACAACCTCCAATACCACCTTTAGGGTTTAAGGTAGAAAAGAGATTAAGAAGAGAGAAATGAATTAATGATATTTACAAGTAAAAAAGTAAACTCAATTTTAAAGTTAATAGCATTATTAGAGTTTGTGAATAACCAGACAACTTTTGGGGTCAACTCTCTACTCAAACCCAAAACCGAAAACCAAAGATTCTGGGTTCGATTCCCAATGAAGTCGCCAGGCTGAGGATGTGGAGTTTTATGATTTTTCCCTAAATGAGAGGAAAGAATCGAATTGAACGGGCTTGGTTGATTTTATTTAATAAATCGATTTTTTTTATTTAACCCATTCATTAATCCTCGAAAAAAGGTTCTCTTACTTTGGTAAGAGTTTTATTTTTGGAGTCGCCACCCTTGTCAGGGAAAATTCTCAAATTAACCGATTCTTTGGAATCGACTAACTAGGTTTTAAACCAAAGACGGGATCCAGGAGTTATGTACGATATGGGAAGGTGTTAGGCACCCATATCGCCCGGTTAAACCCGCCTTCTTGTTGTCCATTAATTCACAATTCACTTAATAAAACCATTAACTAAAAAATGAGATGTAAATACTTTTGATGCATTTTTTTGAAAACATGTCATTCAAGCATTTTAATGAAACATAGAACATAAAAATAAACATTGAAAGAAGGAGGTTATGAGAAAGGAATACAAACCACACCTAAAGTACATTCTACCCAAATGCCTCCAAATTTCCCAATACCCAATAATTATTACAAACATGCAATAAATGTTAAGATCTCTTACATTTTGGCATAACACAACATCAAAGAAAAACAAGATAACAACATTCATAGAAATAAAAACATACATCCACAATCATGACCCATTCATTCATTCAACAAATGCACAAATGATGCATATTTTAATTACAAAATCGATAAATAGAGGGTTACTGCAATAATAATCATAATACACTAAGTTAAAAGGCATAAATATAAGAGACAGAATAATAAAGATGTATAAAAGTAAAGAACATGAATCAAAAGACAACAATTTAAATGATAGAACAAGATTTAAGTTCATAGTCTTGATGTTCATCATTAAATGATGAACAAATACACCAATTATTGCTCTCAATCTTATTTCTTATTGTTTATTTGATCCATTAGTGTACAAAAACGCATCCCAAACCATTGAAGGTTGGTGCTTTGCCACTGGATCTCCAAATCGAGGCCATTTTATTGATTATTGATGTTTTGAACCTCTGGACTGAAGTGGCATGCGCCACAGGAGGAAGTGGCATGCGCCACACGTAGTAGCGCCAGGCCCTTCCCAAATCATAAAGGTTTTAGGCAAAAATAAAGACAAACATAGGGTTCTGGGTTAAAGTGGCGCAAGCCACACGTAGTGGCTTGTGCCACTAGCTTTGGCCGTGCGCCGCAGAGGCACAGAAACTCCCTTTTAGTTGATCACGAGTTTCCCTTACGACCAGACTCAAAATAGGTGCTTAAAACACCTGAAAGAAAAAGAAAAAGACGATAAAATGGGTTAAAAGCTCTCAGGTATTACCTTTTGGTGATTTCCTTAAAGTTTTTTGTTCAAGAGTGGATAAAGAGACTCAAATGCTAGGTTTTTAATCCAATGATCTGAGTTGAGGTTTAATGGATATGTTTATGGGATTTCTAATAGATCTTTGAGGGTTTTAGTGATTGAAAATGAATGAATCTCAACTTTGAGCAAAGGGAAACACAAGTTTCCTTTGATTTCCAGGTTGATTTTTCAAAAATCAAGAGTTTTCCAAGTATCTCCAAAAAATCCTCCCTTACGCACACCCCCCAATTCCTATTTATAGGCAAATGTGGGTGTGTGGTCCCATTTAAGGGCTGACGTGGCGAAATGCCACTGGTGGGCCCCGTAATACGGCCGGGCCTATTTTTACCGAATCGGACCGAGTGGCATGCAAATCGAGGCGGTGCACCGAGAAGTATGCGGGTGGGCCTGACACGCTTCTCGGGCCCTGTTTCGTCGCAAAACTCCGGTAACCCGAGAAAGTAAAAATGGTTAAACACATGTATAATCTCAACCACGGACCATTGGTCCAAGAACCGCATGATTGGGAATCCTGATCCAAACTTATGTGAAAAACGGTTTATCATCATTGGGTCTTTAGAGGCAAAATTTGAGCGTCTACAATAAGTCATATGTCTATATGGTTTTGCTATTACTTTAAGGTAACTTACTCTTATTATTATTTATATGAGAAAATGAGATTACTCCAGTATGTAACTGCATTTCAATTGCGTTTATGGGTTATAGAACCATTTGCGATGTATAGACATGCATAATTATAAAAAAAAAAAGAAGAAGAAGAAATTTATGACGTTATAAGTACTTTTCCCTATATGTATAAATGTATATTTTAAAAATGGAAAGAGCTTCTAACTTTGCTTCTAAGTAATGTTTTTAAAAATAAATTAACTAATAAAGGTTTATTTTGAAATCGTTTTATTTAAATCCCTTGTAGTATATTTATTGAGTTCTTATATAAAATAAGTGTTTAATAAGCGTACTACGAGTGGCACGTCATGTCTTGCAATTGGGTAAGGTGTGACAATCCTCTCCAGTACAGCTGCAAAGTTGTTATGAGCCTGAGTGAGCAAGGCAGCTGCCTGTGGTTCGAATGTTGACATGTCTAGGGGTGTGGGTATTAACTTCTCAACCGAGCTGTCGGCTCTATCGGCTTCCCCAATTCCTATAGAAGTTGTTTTTTCCATTGTGTCGTGGGGGATACAAAATGCTAGATAGGGTGAGAGAGGTGAGCAAATGCTCTGTAGATTCTTAGGTTTTTGTTCGGTCCACGCTTACTGCACCAATTTAATAGTCTCAAAAATGGGTTAATCGGCAATTTTTGGACAACTTTATGAGCAAATTGAAAATGAAAGCTCATTGTTTAGCTTTTTGTTCATTGGACCCAAGCTAAGGGTCTAAATTGAGCATTCATCCCACATTGAATTAAGAATACAAATTAGGAATAATTTATTCAATATTATAATATAATAACCATTATCAAAATATTTGAACATGCTGCTTTGGATTAATCTTTGGGCGAAATTGATTACTTTTGGTTGAAATTGTGTCCAATGAAATATCCAGAGGATCTCCGTCGGATTCTTCTAGTATAACTAAAAGGTTTCCAGAAGCACTATTAAGGAAAGCTCGAGGAATATGGTACCTACAAAAAACACTCTTTAGTTAATCACAGATTCTTAGAAACCAAAAACTGAAGAAAAAAAAAAGACAACCTTAAATTTGACTTCGTTATGTTAAATTTAAATAAAAATCATAAAACAAATAAAAGGTTTCACCAAATACTTACGATGCTTGTGAAGGATGACCTTTGAAGGTAAGAAACGAAACCCAATAGCGACCAATGTTTTGTCCGTTAATCCACGCCATGCCTTTACCCATTTTGCTAAGATTTAAGATCACTGGATCATTTCCTTCAGGAGTGTCAAATTCTATCTGCCAAGTTTCCGAAACATAAAATCGTAAAATTAACGGTTCGTCAAATTTTCATTTAATTTTTATATTGATGTAATTTGTAAGTGCCAATTAAGTTTATAGAAATAAGTAAATTTTATAACTTCAAATATCATCAGTGTGGAAAATTTTATTTTCCTTTCCTAATATTTAAAATATTATTAAAATTTAAAATATATAAATATAAACTCTTGAAATTGCTTGTTAAATTTTTAATTTTGAAAATTTTAAAATTTCTATTAGCTTAAAAAATGGAATTATTGTTAGTTATCAAAAATTGAAAACTAATTTTATCCATAAAGATATAACAAATCCAAACTCTAAATTATTTTTTATTTTCTAATACTTTTCCCTGAAATGTTTTGTTTCTATTAAAATTAATTAATTTTTCTAACTTATATTATTTTGAAAATTTGAATCTTAGTGTAACCATATAAAAACGAAAGTTGTTATTTGAAAAATAATATTTTATTAAATTTATTATTATTAAAATTGCTAGTGACCAAAGTTGAAGTATGTGTTAACATTGGCTCTGACTAATTAATAAAAAATATTGATATTTTATATTATTTTGAAGTGGTCGTTAACAAGAATATGGGCATGCCAGAAGTGGGCACGAGCTCAAACAACCACATGTTTTTGCAAAAGTAAATAAATATTAGAAAAAGAAAATCGACACATGTTTTATGCAAAAATGAATTTATGTACCTTATACCATGTAAGTGGTTGAGTAGTGGACGACATATTAGCCTTAGTCCAATTAACCCTATCCAAGAGTTCTTCTTTGTAAATTTGTAGGTTCTCAACGAATAGCCCAACCTGTAGTTATGGATAATAAACCATTGCTACGTTAACTTAATTGCATAAGGAACAAGATTAGCAAAAATCCAACAAATTAAAGCCTTAAATTAGTCTCAATTCTTATTTTTGGAACTGAACTTTTCAACTATTTCCTAAAAATATATATAATAGTTGAAACCAAGACCGACATCAAAACCGAAATCGACTTGGACCATTTATATTTGGGCCAATCTAGAACTGTATTCGGTAACAGCTTTTTAATTAACTTTTAGCGTTTTGAAAATGCTGTTTTTTATAGTGTTCAATAACATATCGTTTAAATTAACTTTTAGAGATTAAGGTAGTATTTTATAAAAAGTTAACTTATATAACCTTTACAGTTTAGGCTATATTTGGTTTGATATAATACAATGTAATATAATCAAATATATAATGCTATGAAAAATGTAATATAATGAAATGTAATTAAGATTTCATTACTATATTTAGTAACGTAATTGAGAAAATTTATGAAATATAATTATCATTCATTTTTTATGTTTATTTGTAAATATATAATGTAATTAGCACATCACCACCAACACTCCATCACTACCAAACCACCATTCCACCACCACAACCACTGAAGCACCACTGCAACTCCCCCAGCACTACCACCACCACCACCTTAACTACTCTAGCACCAAGAGCACAATCACCACCACCATTGCTCTATCATTACCACCATCACCTCAACAACTCTACCACCACCACCACTAAAAATATTCATAAATATTGTAATTTAATTTATTCAACGAAAATATATGAAAAAAGAATTAATTTCTTATGACTTTAACTTCTATTTTATTCTATTATTTTTTTTTTGGCTTACTGATTGCAGGCAACGGTGATAGTGGAGTGGTAGTTGGCGATGGCGGTGGTAGTGGAGAGATAGTGGTGGTGATGGTGGTGGTAGAGTGATTGTTGTGTTGGTGTGATTGGTGGTGGTGGTTACAGTGGCTGCAATAGTGGGTAATAGTAGAGTGGAGGTGGTGGTAGCAATGGTTGCGCTGATAGGGATAGTGGAGTGGTGTTGGTGGTGGATGGTGGTTGCAGCGGTGGTGGTGATAGCAGTGGTGGAATGGTGGTTGTAGTGATGGTTGAGAATGGTCGTGGGCTTAAAAAAATGTAATAAGCTTTATATAAATTTTTTGTTGTAATGAATATTATATCAACTTAAGTAATGAAAATTACACGTATAATCTCAATTACATTACATGGTTAAAAAAAAAAAATCTAACCAAAATAATGTAATTAATTATGTATGTAATTCTCATTCCTTTACATAATTGATTACGTCATACTAAATATATTCTTAGCATTTTATAAAAAACTATTCAAATAGTTAATAGCTAAACGTTACTAAAAACAGTAACAGCTGTAAAAATAACGAATTTTGTCGAAAATACCCTAAATCGCCTTAGCAGAAGGCCTAAAATCGGCGCTTTTGCAAATCGAAATGACTAGTTAAAGAAACGGGCTGGCCATAAATTAGAGTAATTAACTGACCTGATATCCCCATTGGTAATTATCTGTAAAATTATAAAAGTCTTTCTCTTTAGTGCATTGAATTTCCACACTGGTTAAGCCAGCGTATCTCTTCTCCAGAAAAGCTCCCGAATCCTTCACCCATTTGAATTTGAATAATTTTAGTTGAAATGCCAAATTAATTAATACATCTCTTTAGACTTTAGGAACAAATGTTACCGGTAATCCAACCATAACACTGAGAATAGAAATATTATTGCTTCCGCTGTCATTTAAGGCAATCGGCAATTTCATGGTAAATGGACCCTTGTCAGTTTTACTTCCATGTTCCGATCCTGAAATCAAATATTTATCAATATTATATTATATTGATAAAAAAAAATGAGTGTAAGTAATTAATAATTTAAAACGTAAAATAAGTAATAATTTAAAGGGTAACCTGCATATTTGTCGTTGACAAAAGCATATGCAACATGTGCAAGAGACTCCACATGAAGTAGGGGTTCAGTGCAAGACGAATTAGGCTGGAAGCTGTTGTGTAAAACCAATTATGTAAATGAAATACATATTTAATTTGAAATTTACTGTGAGAAATTTTTTTTTTTTTTTTTTTTTTTAGAAATTTTTTTTTTTTTTTTTTTTTCTTTACCTCAAGTCTGTACCAAAGATAATCTGATGATCTTTGGTTATGTTTCATGTGCTTCCAACAAAGTATTTTGATCTGATTTATGGTATCCTGTGCGTTAATTGGGGAATGACTTCTAACATATTTTTTCCCCACCTGTTTTTTTTTTTTTTTTTTTTTTTTTACCTCAAAGTGTACCAAAGATAATCTGATTGATCTTTGGTTATGTTCATGTGCTCCAACAAAGTATTTGATCTGATTATGGTATCTGCGTAATTGGGAATGACTTCTACATATTTTTCCCACCTGTCAACGCCATTTAGTTTTTCACTTGATGTTGTGATTCTCCCGTTAGACTCTACTGTCACCTGTGGATTACCCGTGGATACCATATATTGGCTCCTTCAAGTTAATTTTGATAAATTTTATTATTATTCATTTTGATAGTTTATGAATTTATTATTGTTACCATTATTTATATTTTGTTATTACAGAAAGAAAAATTTTATTTTGTTATTTTGTTATTTAGAAAAAATTTAAACGTAATCAAATTAGACTTGTAAAAAGGCCATGGCGATGGCTATGAATAACCAACAAATAGAGTAAGCTATAACCTATGACACATATATTATGATTTTCCTCTTAATGAAACTTTCAATTTAATTTCCTCTTAAAAAAAATATATCTTCTTTTTCCTCTTTTTTTTTTTAACGTTTTATCTATAAAATTGATAAAAATGCAAGAAAATTATTGTTTTAGAATCAACATATATGCATTCAACTTTCCAGTAAATTTGTTCAAAAAATCTGCAAGAATCTAGTAGAAGTGCTTGTATTATTATATAAATTGATGATGGATGATTTTTATATTATAAATTGAAATTTAGAAACTATGAAACAACTAGTGTTAATTTGAGAGACAATAGATGAAAATTAGGCGAATTTGGTAATAATATCCTCATGCACTTAACAATATATATAAATAATGAAGTACCTTGGCGGTGTTGAAGGCTACGTTTTGAGTGTCACAGTCAGGTAAAATACTGATGGACTTAGGAAGCAACTCAAATGAGTTACTTCTGAATTGAACAGTAGCATTGCTTGAATCATTATTGACAAGAAATGCAGCACAGCCAACTCCTTGTGCTTCAAAAACATATGCCTGCTTTCAAATTAATAAACAAATTATTAATTTTTTTAGGAAAATAAAGGAATTATTAATTAATTTGATAAAAAATTAATATAATTTTTTAATTATATTTCAAATAATTAATTAAATTCACCTGCTGAAGTTCACCCAAGGACAGAGTAGTTTGAGCTCCCTCTAATAACGCTGAAGAGCAATTCTTGATTGCAGCATGAAGCTCCTTAAGATGGCCCCATTTTGGCTGCCTAATTAAACCTTAAATATTATTTTAAATTAGTTTTTTTTTTATTAAAATTGAATTGTTGTGTAATTAATTAAAAAATTTACCATATTCATCAAGTGGAGCTTGATCATAATAAGCTGTTGTTACATAAGCTGAGGCTGATCTGCCGAAATTTGTTCCGCCATGGTACTAAATAAAAAGAAAATACACACTAATTAACTATAGATTTATTATGAAATTATTAAGAAAATTAATCATCATATCATATACCATGTAATAATTCACGTAGCTTCCATTTTTCGCAATGAAAAGAGCCACATGAAATGCAATATCTTGAGCCGAGCGTACATAAACTTGTCCCCCATATACTTGATAGCTTCACCAGAAAAAAAAAATAATAATTAATTAATTAAACTACAAACTATTGAAAGTAACTTTTAATTCAATTATTTAATTTTGAAATAATTTATATAAACTATATTTTGAACTAAAAATTGAAAATAAATAATCAAATCAAACAAATTAATCGATAAATAATTAAGAATGAAGTAAGCATACAACGAAGTCCAATTCTCTGTCCAAAGTGAGGGCTTTGAAGGGGAATTGGGCCCTCCAAAAGTTTCCCCGCATCTAAATCCGTTGCATGTATTAATCTGCAAATTAATTAATATTTTAATAATATTCATTTATGTTTTTATATAATAATATTAATTTAAAAAAAAAAAAAATCATATATATAGAAGAAGCGAACCACTGGATCTGGAGCATCGTTTTGCTTGCACATAATCCATGGCACACCTGTTTGGAGTCCAACAGCCATTGCTGCTGCCCAATGAACATATGGGACTCCCAATCGCCCAAAAGATCCTTCAACGTTTCCATATTCATTCTCAATCTGTAATTTTTTTTTTCAATTAATTAGTTTTCGTGGGTATAAGCTATTCTACCTTTTTTACGTTAATTTTTTTTATGTTTTTTAATCTTCTTATTCCATTTATATGACATTTTTAAAAAAATTGAGTTTTTGTCTTCTTTTTTTTTAGTTACAAAGAATTAGCTAAAAAATAATTTAGTCAATTACTTTTAATTTTTCTAGAATTAATGCGTTTTTATTGAGCCTTTTTATTCATTTGGTGTAAAATTAAAATAATAATTATACAAAAATTTAATTTTCGGATAAATTGTATATGACATTTAAATTTAGGGGACAAATTTATCTTTTCAGTCCGTGTACAACTATCAATTTCTTTACCTGTGATAATATTATGGGTCCTTGTGGTGCATATAAACCCTCTGACTTCATCAAGTTCACTATTTTTGTGGTAAAATTTTGCATGTAAAACTACAAAACAGGTAAATCAATTAAACACAAACATCAGGTTTGCAAAATATATAAAGGTTTGAGAAAATAAATACTTTTCAAAAATCTCATATATGCATATAAATCTGGTAAATATGGAGACCTTGAAGGGCCCATTATGGGATCGATAAACAATGTCAGGAACGTCATGCAACCAAAAAGGAAGCCCCCTGCAATCACCATCTAACTAATTAGAATGGAAAACACTTATTTGATAATTTTTTTTAAATAACAATTAATTGTTAATTGATTATATGAGAAATAGATATAAAACCTTTTTTTTTTTTGGAAAATTTATATTTAAAAAAGTATTTCGTGTAGAAGAAAAATTAATACTTACCCATAAGTCCATTCACTCTCAATAAAGGGTCCAATCCTAAGGCATACATAAAGACCTTGTCTTTCGATTTCCCTTATAAATTTCACCAAATCATTTCTTCCACTGAAATCATACTGCATGCTCGTGATATAATAACAAAAATGAGAGAGAAGGAAAGAAAGAAACAGAGTTTTATAAATTAGAGTTTAGCTACAGTTAATAGTTTTATAAATCATTAATAATTATATCTATAATTTTAAAATTTAATGATTAAGAAAGTAGATTTTATATTTAATTCAAACTAAAAATTATTACTGACCACTCCAGGTTGAAGTTCGTGCAGGTTCCAAAACACATATGTTTGAATGACATCTAGTCCCCCTTCCTTGGCTTTAGCTATCAAAGATGGCCACATCTGTAATATACACTTATATTACTAACCGACAAATATGTAATTTATCAAATTACACTTTAATTTATAAAATTATAATTATTAAATAGTAATCAAGCGAGGGATTGTAAATTTTAAAAATTATATATTATTTAGTAATCTTTATTCAATTCAAGTGTAATTAATGACAACCACTCAATTGCCAAATTATATATCAAAACAATTTGATTGAAATGTAAATATTTTGGAAATAATAATACTGAAAATATAAAGCAAAGGAGGCAAGAATCAAATTTATAATAATAAAAAAAATGATTGTATAACTATAGATGAAAAGTAATTAATAAAAAAAACTAGTTACCCCGTGGAGTAATATTCTCAAAGGAAGAAAGAAAAAATTGGCAGTAAAAAAATGTTACATTGCCACGTTTACTGGTATAGCATTGAGTATAAAAACCCTTGACATGAACTGCACTCATAGAACCTAAAAAGAAAAATAGTCATAGTTTACCTCTGGGGTGCTGCGAGGATAATGAATTGAGCCCGAAAACAGAATTTTTCTTTTACCGTCAATGATAAGAGATCGGCGGTCGTATGTTACTTTTGCTCCGGTAACTACTCCGCCGCGTTCATTGATTGTAATTACTGTTGCTGCCATCACGGCAACCACCGCAATCCAACCTTGCCACCCCACCATCTCTCCTTGAGTAGACGTATCGTCAGACATCCTATATATATATAATACAGAGAGGATAGGGATAAGTGGTTGATGGGTCATTTCCCATGGGATTGACAACTTTATGAACTCTACCTTCTATAGTTACAAATTAACCCAACCGAATCAAGTTCTACGATATTTAATATCAACACTGATATATGGCTCGAATCGGGCCGATCACGATAAAATTAAATAATATTAAATTCTTACAGTTAAAGTTTTTAACTTGATTTTAACTCTCTTTCTTATAGCTGACTTTCAAGTTTCACCTTCCATATTCATTAACCCGCAAGTCAAGGTACCCTTTTTTTTTATTTTTTATCAAGGATATCCCATACTTCCTGTTTAACGGTTAGATAAAAGATCAATCTCTTTCAGACAAGAGAGATATTATATTTTAAAGTATCCTTTTTAGGATGGGGAAAGATTATATTTTAAAGCCCTCTCCAAGATGTCAACTCCACGATTCGATCCTGCAATCACCGTAGTGAGATCTAGTGCACTTCAATCACTACACCAAGCTATCTTGGTAAGTCAAGCATTTCAAGTGTCATCCCATACCACCATGCACTTACATGTCAATTAGCAAATTTATGGTTCTTTAATTTCTTTATTTAGGGTCTGTTCGGCAAGATTAGTTGTTTTAGAAGCTGTTAACAGTTTTCATAATTATTAACAGTTAAATATTAATTGTTAGTTGTTCATATAACTATTTAAAACAAAAGTATCATGAAAATAGTTGTTTGATTAGTTGTTGTATTTAAAATGATAAAAAAGCGCATTTGAATATTGAATTAGAATTTTAAGTTATAGCTATAGAAATGAACTCAATATAATAATAAAAAAAAAAAGATGATTATGTGATGTTATTAATTTTTTATCAAAAGAATGTCTATCTATAGTGTATAGTTCAGCTATATAAAAGGAGGTATCATTGCAATATCATAGCAATCAGGTTTTGAACAATTTAATTACTTCTTGATATCTAACTAATGGAGAAAGGGAATCACGCTGCAATTGAAATAATAAAAAAGTTTTAAAATAAGGCAAGACTGCCAATAAAATAGGATGACGTTTTAAATTTAAAACATGCTATAAAAGATAATACACACATATGTGGCACAAATTTGGCGTACTCTTATTAAAACATGCTGCAATATATATATATAAAATTTAAAAACTGCTAAAAAGATAATACCACATATGGTTGCACAAATTTGGACACGTATTACTCTTATTAAAACATGCTGCAATATATATATATATATATTATATAATATACATATATATATATATATACACAATATATACACACACACACATTAAAGTTGAGATAAAGAAAAACTTTAAACTTTAGCTCTCTTTTTATTTTTATATATTTTGATTGTACTAATTAGTATATCTTATTAAAAAATTAATATTTATTTATAACAATTATAACTATGAAAATCTAGTTATATTAATTATATATCATTAAACACATATTAATATATTTTTTTTGTTTTTTATTTTTAATGTTTAAAATTTTAACTATTATATTACTGTTGACGCGTGTCTTTATGCCCCCGCCTAACCCGATGAGGATATAAGGACGCGGAATAAGGAATCATGGTTATCCGGAAGTCTTTAAACCAAGGATTAAACCAAGAATCGATTTAAACTAATTCAAGGAAGTCTGATTTGCACTAGAGTTGCGTCATGCAGCTATAAGGTGCGTGACGGCACTGATAGTTGCGTCACACAACTCCAATTAGGGTGATGTCAACTTGAAAGCCGACAAATAACGGTTCTGCATTCTATTTGGATACATGGCAACGGTCCAGAAAGTGAGCTGCATCACGCAGCTCTCGGGTCCGTCACGCAACTGTTAGTTGAGTGACGCAGCTACATTCAATTGCCCTACCCCCATATAAATACTGCGTTTTTATCTTAAAAGGGCAGAATTTTGGGAGGAGAACTTTAGGAGAGGAATTTTAAGAGTTCGAAAAAATACATTGACGGCTGAGGTTTTCTGCAAGAACTTCTTTGAGTTATCTTGAAGAAAAACAGCCTTAGAAATTAGTTAGGTTAAAAACAAAAAAATCACACAAAAAGAGAAAAAGAGAGAAAACAAAAGAGAGAAAGAGATTTTTGTTAAAACTTGGCAAAAAAGACTTCTGGGATCTTGAAACCTTACTCGAAACCTTACTCCTAAGACGTTCAGATTGTTTACAATTCCTCAATCTGAGGGTTAGGTAATCATCTAAACTTGTCTTTGTATTTTTTTAGTTATTAAAGGGTTAGGTAATCATCTAAACTCTTCTTGTTATTTTTAGTTGTTAATTTATTAAATACCTATTTTGTTGGTGTTTGGGTAGTTTGATATTGGTTAAGTTGTATTCTGCCTATTGTTGAACGTTTCTAAGTCACATTAAAACAAGTTTTGATAAAAAGAAAACGTAAAAAGGTAGTTTGAAAGATAGTTGCGGACTAGAGCAGTTGTGTCACGCAGCTACAAGCTATTCATGTCCAAAATGTGTTGACGTTACCCCGACTTGTTGCGTGACGAAACTGTTCGTGCTTATAACTTTATTTCGTTTATATCTTTTTTTTAATATTGTATTTTAAATAAATGATTGATGAATCTAAAAGTTTTGCCAAAATCACAAACAGCTGCGTCACACAACTATGAGTTCCGTCACGCGACTGTTCTTCCATAGAACAGCAGCGCGACGCAACTGTTTTAGGGTTCCAGAATAATTTTATTTTTTTTATTTTGTGCAATCAAATAAATGTTCAATTTCTTTTTATAATTCAAGAAACAACCAATAATGAATGGGCAGATTGCGATTTGATCTAGTACATTAATTTATTATCATGCATGATTTCGGGTTTTTAGGGTTTATTGGATTTAAATTGGTTAGAATGTATTTTAAGTTCGATTTGTGGCCCGCCTTTAACCATAAGGCAAGAGCAGGTCTTTTGATTATTTTAACTTCACTGCTATGGGTTGAATGGTTGGTGTGGTTTGAATGATTATGAATGCAATATGAATGCATGAATGAATTTATTTGGTATTTGGGACGATTAAATGATTTTCCACATAGAAACTCGGTTTGATTTATTCGGGTTGGGTTTGTATAAATAAATTGGCTTTTCTAAGATAAAATAAAATAAAATTAGAAATTGTAGGTTAACAGAGGCCGGTTTTCCCGGCGTCGGCTTCTAACGGGCCGACGTACCCAATTCCCTTATCCAGAATCGCACTTGGAGCGCCTGACCAGTCTTTTAAAATAATTGGCCTTAAGTAAAATTTGGATCAAATGAAGTCACTTTTAATTGGAAACGGTCCCTTTGCCGAAAAAATGGGTGGCGACTCAAAGTATTTTATAAGACCGATTTATCGCCATTGTGTGCAATAAAAGATTTTATCACCACTTGTATAAAGATCACATTTCCAACAAATAAATTAATAAATCGAGCGTTTTTCGGGTCGCTCGGGGGCGGTCAGCGAAAACAATTACCTTTGAGATATTGGTTTATATTTGGAAATTTAATATTTATTTATAATAATTATGACATTAGAAATATAAGCATTTGTTAGAAAATAAATAAATTTATGTATATTAATTATATATTATTAAATATTACAAGTTGTACTAATCTTTTATGTTTATAGTTTTTAATATTAATAATATTTTTTGTTTTTGTGATTTTTGAATTATTATTTTTTTATTATGATAATTAAGGCTTTAAAATTTTTAATTTAATATTTTATATATACTTAATCAAGTTGAATCTATCTATCTATCTATTACCTATCTATCTATCTATATATAAAATTTTGAAATAAAAAATATATTAAAAATTCTGATATGATGATCTCCTTTTTTAATATTTTAGTTTTTTTAGTAATAGACTTTTACTTTATTTTCTTTATTTTAATCTGTTTAATTGATATATATATTATTTTATCTGTTTATTGATATTATTTTATTATTATATATATATATATTTATTTTATATATATTTTAATTCTTTCCTCTAAATAATATATACTACTTTCAAATTTTTGAATATTTCCTTATTTATAAAGGACCTATATTTATCTATATAAATTTTTTATTTTTTTTATTTTTTCAAGTTTTAATTAGATATATATTTTCTTAAAAATTCTTTTATCTAAATAGATATATACCACTTTCAAAATTTTGAATATTTCATTATTTGTAAGATACTCATATTTATGTGTATAAATTTCTTTCTTTTCTTTATTTTTGTATGTTTTAATTGGATACATTTTTAAAAAATTCTTTTCACTAAGTAGATATATACCACTTTCAAATTCTTGATATTTCCTTATCCGTAAATTATCCATATTTATCTATAAAAATTTCTTTCTTTTATTTATTTTTTTTATATTGTAATTGGATATATATATTTTTTGAATTATTTTCTCTAAATAGATATATACTACGATAAAAATTTACCGTATTTATCTATATAAATTTCTTTCTTTTCTTTATGTTTCTATGTTTTAATTGGATATTTTTTGTTAAAAAAAAATACTAGATATATATCACCACTTTCAAATTTTGAACTTATCTGTAAAACTTTTTTCTATAAATAGATATACACCACTTTCTATTTTTTAATCTATTTAAGTTATATATATTAAATTAAACTAAAATATTTTTTTGGAATTAATATAAATTAAATAATTCATTTTGAATTATTATTATTGATATTTAAGTACCTATATATATATATATATATAACAATGAAGCAGCCCGCAATTTCGTTCACCTAGTTTACCTATATTCTTCTCCAAACTCTAAATTTTTTATTCAAATTTATTCATTTTAACTTAACAAACTCGTTGATGAGTTTTTTGCATTGGTTACTCTAAGGGTGCATCGTAAATACCTGGAATATGCGGGACAAAGTAGCCACTGAACTTTGTAAAAGTTTGTTTCGTTGCACGCTCATTGTGGTTGCCACCGCAGAAAAGCAGATCCATTTTTATCTTCATACGTCATCCTCGCGTGCCTGCGGTTTCAGGATTTGTCAACTTTAGAGAATATTTATATATATATATATTATATATATATTATATTATTAATTATTAAAATTTGTTTGTTTTACC